AGGGATAGCCCTGACTCTAAACGTAGATATCCTGAATGCTAGATGTTTGTTTGACTAGGTGCGAGAAAGCCCCAGCACGTGTGCCAGAAGTGGTTGTGGGAGGCAGTGGACACCGTACCCACTTGGCATTCTCCTACTCCCCATCTGACTCTCAGGGCAGGATTTTTTATGTTACCAGCAGTGTCTCTATGCTTTCTAGTTTATAGTCCTCTCATTTCTCTTCCCTATCACAATTTCCTGTTGAACCATAGCTCATGTGCTAAGTAAAATTTCAGAATATTAATTTTCAGTTTGCCTGACCTATCCTTGGGGAAGAAGGCGGGTCTGACGATACTTGATGGGAAGAGGCTGTCATGCTTCTGGCTTGGGTTGTGCGTTTTCCATGCCACGCTGTGAAGGCGGGGCACTGGGGCAGAAGCAGAACAGTCAACCTTCTCCAGCTTCTTGGGGAAAAACCATGTTATGGTGTTTGCTGCCTAAATGTGGGGGTGGCAGACACAGTGGTCCTGAGAACCCACCCCACATGTCTGCTGTAACTTTGAGGATGAAGAGAGACCGGCAGAAAGTTCCCCAGGGGCCTCTGCTCTGCTTCTTAGGAAGAAACCATGAGAAGCCAGGCACTTGAGAGGTGTGTATGCATTTGGGGTAGGGAACAAGGATCTGTTTTGCTTTACCCTGGGATCCTTTAATCCCAGCACCATGTCCTTTATTGTGGAAGGGAGGGATTGGACTGTCTGTATACAGTGGTCTTGCATTTATCCAGTCTTGCACAGGATTACAAGTGACCATTGTCAAGGCTTCATTTCATGCACACATGGATTACTCCAAACAAGAAAAACACAGTGTAGAATGTTAGGAATATTTTGCTCTTCTATCCCAAGCTCTTAAGTCCTAGATTTAGAGAATTTCCTTTAGACTCTTACTGGCTTGCTTGTCTCCTATTCTTTCCAAAGCCTGCTCATCTTTTTATTACTTCATTTACTTCTTCCCCACAAGTTCCCGGGTCCTTGTGCTCTGGCCTTCTGCTTAGGCTGCTGGATTCCGGGGTAAGGGAGAGGAGGGGCCAGAGGCCATTCTACAGGCTGACCTCAGGGTGCATTGTATCTAAAAGCCAGTGGGGCCTTTACTATGGGAGGGGTGACCTGCTTCCTCCTCTGCTGTCCTGTTTCCCACAAGAGAGCCTGAGCTGCTCAGCTTTGAGTTTTATGACAGAAAGCTTCCAGAAGGACTGTCTCAGAAGGGCGTGGGGGAGTCACAGTAGGGGGAGAGCCCACCTCGTCATACTGCATTCTGTATTGGCAGTAAGTATTAGTTGCATTTTCAAGGGCCAAAAAATGGCGCAACACGCAAACAACAGCCTTTGACCTGTTTAAGCTTCTCTTTAGACTAATGAGAAAAGAATAAAATTGGCCTATGCTGTTCTCACCATAACTCTATACCACGTTATCAGTGATCCAGGCAGAACAGACTTTTCTCTGTGGTAGGTGGAGGTGGATGGGAAATAAATAGTGGTGAAACAGGTAGGCCCGGTCTTAACTTTTCTCCAACTCCTACTTGTTAAAACCCAGGCCATGGGAGTCTGTAATCCTAGAGAAGCCCTAAGACGTGGCATTGTCACCAGGAGCCTGACTCCCTTGGTCCCCTCTGCTGGTGAGGGGCACTTGGCTGCAGCACTGAACCTGGCGCTGGGTGTCTCTCTGTCTGCTCACCTGTCTCTTTGTCTTCTCTTTCGCGTTGTAGCCTGTCCCCCCTTCCTTTATGTTCTCTCTCTGTGCCTCTTACGCTTACCTTGGCCCACTTCCCTGCTTACCCACACTTCTACCCATGTGGAAAAATGAATTACGTTTTATTTACCTCTTAGATGCCTAAGATTGACCACAGGCTTTATTGCCCATCCAACCAATTCCATGAGGGTCAACTGAGTGGAAGTCACCTGTTGGCCTCTGGGATTAGCTTTCTCCAGGCGCCTTTAGGTGTCCGTACTTTCTTTCTGTTTTGCATCAGAAGAACCCAACTTCTTGAATGATGAAAAGGAAACGTTGAAAATAGAATAAGAAAGAAAACTCCCTTAATTCCACCATGGCAGCTCAGGTATCTGCTGGCCTGCTGCTCTATATTTAAGATACACTGTCTTCCTTGAAGCTGTGGATTTCTTTTAAGCTTCTTCATAAACTGAACTGGCTGTAAAACAACTGGGTTCTGTTTCCAAGGAGATTTAAGTATTTGATAAACAAGTCCAGGCCAGCCTTTTTGCTGCTGTCCAGAAGCAAACTGACCTAATTTCTAAAACTGTCATCTGTTCGCTGAGGTGTTTTCTGTTAATAGTAATTTTGCAGTGTGTGTGTGTGTGTTTATTGGTGGGGGTGAGAGTGGGGAGTTATTTTATTGCAGTGTAATTGACATTATAATAGGTTCAAATGTACAGAATATAGTGATTAAACATTTAGTACATTGCAAAGTGACCACCATGATAAATCTAGCTAGGTTTTTTTTTTTCAATATTTGTGGTCTTTTTACATAGTTTAATTCAACAGTATCTTAAAGTCACTTCTAGCCCAGGCTCTACTGCCTATCATAGCATGACTAATAAGAACTCTTTATCCTCTCTGCATCTAGTTTTCTAATTAGAATAACTACCATTCAGATTGATATTAGCACTAAATGACAGTATTAATATTAAAGTGTGTTGTACAGTTTGGAGCACTATACAGCTGTAAGATATTCTTAACAATGTCTTTAAAAATATTTATAATCCTGGACATTAAACAGTTTTCCTTTTGCTAAAAAAACCCAGTCTCTGCAAGGATTGTCACCATTGTTTTTCAGATCCGATATTAAGAATACATGTCATCCTAGACTCTGTGAGTGAGAGCAAAGAAAAACACCCCGTCATAATATTTATTAAGAACTTACTATGTGACTAATATTTGCCTACGGAGTTTTTATTCTGACTTTGTTGTGGAACCAACATATGTGAAATTGACGTAAAATACTTGCGGTGGTGGCAGAGGCGCAGGGGAGGATCCCTAACTAGTTTGGTGCAGACTGTGGGGAGGGAATGGGGCCTGGGGCATGATTGGAGTTGGGTGGAATTTCCTTGGGAAAATTGTGTCCAAGAGTCCTTGTCTGTTTATTATTATCTTGCTGTGCCACCTTTCCTGTGTTGATATCAGTGTGTACATTTGAACGGCATTGTGGCATCAGGCATCTCCGCCAGGCATTTGGGCAAGCTTCCTAGTTAAGTACTGGGCCATGGTTTTTAAACGGACTGAATACGTACATTAAAAAGGAAACACGTATGGAGTTCTGCTTTAAAACTCAGAAATTCATTCGCATCTGCTTCTGGAAATTCAAAGAGTAAAAAGTTGTATGCATAATTTTATTTCAGTCACTGTAAAATCGGTTAGAATTAGATGATGGCTTTTCTTGACTTTGAAGCAATGATTACCCAGGCATCATGTACATAAGGAGGTGTTTGGATGTATTTAGGTTGCAAAGTCAGATTGCTAGGGTCTCTCCATGTTGTGCCTCTTTAAAATGTGTTACTGCTTTTAGTGGATGTGGTATTTTCTTTGGAGTCTGTGTCTCAAGCAGCCAGAGCGTGATCTGCAATTTCCTTTCCCTATCATCTTGATTTATAAAGGGAATTTAATAATATTGTATTCACTGAAGAGTAATGCATGTGGAGTAGGAGTTTATCTCTTGAAAATATAAAGTACAAAAATCATTTTTTTTTTAATGCTGAAACATGCTAATATGGGGAACACAGCCTTGGACTTCTCTGTGACCTCAGCTCAGCAGATGTGCCAAAGCCTTGATTCATTGTCCAACAGACAAAGGCTGATTGCTGAGAACCAAAGGTGATTGTGGTAGGATAGTGGGATTATAAGTACTTTTTCCTTCTCTGATTGAGCACTTTCTAGATTGTTATTATATTATAATTAAAAATAATACATACTTTTAAAGCACTGTGGTTCCATTTAAACCTTTTATTTCCGTCTTGATGGAAAGGTTCGGCTATATAAAGCCTTCCTAGTGCAATCTGAAAAAGTAATACAGAGGAAAGGTGATTATCGGGAACCTCATGATGTTTTGTTCTCCTCTCAAATCCACCCATAAACACCTTTCAAAGGAAAAAGCTGCAAGTCGAATTAAGCGGTTGAAGATATTTTTCATTTTTCCTTAATGTTTGGCAAATTAAGAACCCTGGGACTGTACAATAACTGTTTGACCCTAAAATATAATTCAAATGAATCAAAAAGTACATGTAAAGAAGCAATAGCATGGATGGAAACATGGACCCTTATTTCATTTGAGGCAATGCTGGATCATCTTGTTTGGCCCATGCAAAACTAACCAGCATTCCCTACACTGCCTCCCATGGAGTTCTGTGGAAGGTTCTGTCTAGTAAGCCCTGACAGTGGTGTGTCAGTCTTCGGCAAATTCCTGTCCCTTTGTTCTTGTGGGCAACAGGAAGGGCACTGAGGTCTGGCCCCCAGTAAGTGCTACTCACATTCAGGACCCTTTCCCTTCCTAAAGAAGCCAACTAGACACTCTTGAATAACTGACATCTTGATCACTGTGTGCTCCGTAACCAGCCCTAATAAATACTCAAAAACAGTAACTGAATGAATGAGTGTTCTTGTCCCTGTATATCTGCAGTCACTCAGAGCACGTAATACCCAGATTTTCCCTTGGTCACTGGCATGCCCAGTGCCTGTAGCCTCAAGACACCCTTGATTTGACTCTCTCTCCCTGTACTACCAACCACACGTAGCTATTTGCATTTGAAGTTAATTCAAATCACATAAAATTTAAAATTCAGCCCTCTGTTGCACTAGCTTCGTTTCAAGAGCCCAGTAGCCCCATGTGGCTAGGTCACCATACCAGACAGCACAGGCGTGAAGCATGGCCGGCATGGCAGAAAGCTCCAGTGCACATAGGACTGCTGTGTATCTTCCTGAGCATCAGCTGATGGGGGTTCCTCTTTGTGTTTGCAGTGCAGCTGTCTACTGGGGAAGAGAGGTTTACAGGAACGAGGAGAAACTCCGGGAACTGCCTCATTGTGACATGTCTGATCCCTCACTCCAGTCCCTGCAGCATGAACAAGGTAAGAGGCACTTGCGTGACTCAGCCTCTATGTCTTCTTTATGGTACCGTGATTTTTCCTGGACATGTAACATCTTTCCACGGTGTGAGGAAGTTGCTCCTCCTGCTAGAAGCAATCCGGAGGTTGGAGAATTGTGTATTTACAGGCAGCATCACAGAAGCTGGTGGCCAATCTGTGGTTATGTGGTCTTCCAGAGGTGTCGTTTGTGTTTGTCAGAGGTCTCTGGGTGGCCCAACTATCAGTTGTCAGTTTAATTGCCTTGGTATGGATATTGGAAGATTGAGGCTCTAGAGTCAGAATCCCTGCGCTTAAGTATCAGTTCTTCCAGATGCTAGCTTTAATTGCCTTAGGCAAATGGCTTAACTTCTCTGCGCCTCACTTTCCCCATCTGTAAAACGCTGATGATAATGGTACTTGCCTCATAGGGTTGTTGTAATGATGAAGTAAGTTCATATATGCGTCAGGACTTAATATAGTACCTCTCCATGTTATGAGCATTCGATAAATATTTGCTGTCATTTTGATGTTGGGGACAAAGTTGTCCCTTCAGCAATGCGGCGAGAGAGTCCTAGGTGCATCTGCAACATCCCCATTTATTTCCCGATGGATTCAGCAGGCAGGGATTGATTCCCAGCGACTGATTCTCTCCAGGGAGAAACAATGACGAGGCTTAGGTCTTGACAGACGATTTAGGGCCAGGTGGCTAGTGCTTTAACAAGGTATGCACAGAAGGCTCTGGAAGCTCAGAAGGAACATCCAACTTTGGGGGATCTGGAAAGGACAGTATAGAGGAGCTGACATTTTGAATGGATCACAGATGACAAATGGTCATTTCTTGGACATAGAAGCAGGGCAGGACAGTCCAGGTGAAGGAAACAGGCTGTGTTTAGGCCCAAAAGCCTGTGAGAAAGTCTGGCGTGCTTAGAAAACACAAGTGTGGTTTGACTGGCACAGGGTTTCTCAGCCTCAACCCTGGTGCCATTTCAGCCATGTCATCCTTGGTAGTGAGAGGCTGTCTTCTGCATTTGGAAGATGTTAGTAGCATTCTCCGTCTCCCACTTCATTTGTGACAACCAAAAATGTCTGCACACATTGGCCAATGTCCCTTTTGGGGGACAAAAGTGCCCCTGGTCAAGGCATTGCTGCCCTGGTAGGAGATGGCAGAGATGAGCCCAAGAAGGAGAGATAAGGGTCTGATTCTGAGAGCCAGCGAAGGATTTAAAACAGGTGAGACGCTTCCAGAGGCCTGCAAGAAGAGGTAAATGATCGCATTCTCTCTGGCTCATGACAGAGCTGGGGGGCCAGTTTTAGATGGTATGAGGGGGATCCTTGGCTTTAGTAAGCCCACTTAGCTTGTTGAGATTCTTTTACTGAGAACCCCTTTCCGGGAGTGATTTTTCTCCTTTGTTTTCTCACGTCCACTTGTTTAGCCTTCTCAAGGGTGCTGTTTTATCCCATTGGAAGAGACCAGGAAAAACTTAGCAATTGTTTTTTGAGAAACTTCCATGTGGCTGAGCCAGGCCAAAGATAAGGAAACCTTGTGCTGACTTTTCCCCTCCTCTGGCTTCAGTACTTACTTTTAAGCAGTCTTTTTTAAGAAGTGAGCTTTTTTAAGGAAGGTGGGCAGGTATTCTGCCCCAGGAAGGAGGGGAGGACAGGGAGGGGAGATGCATCCATGTGGTCACTGCAGACCTTGGCTTCTGTTATGTAGAGTTCGGTGGACTGCAGGGCCCACACGCCTCTGGGGAAATCTCTGACAGGCAGGCCCGGTGTGCTGTGACAGCCCTGCCCTGCGTTTGTCCAGGGCAGCTCAAGATCTGATGTCATGGGTTGGCTTTTGTCTCACAGCTGGGAAACAGACTCCTTAGAAATTTCAGTGTCTCAGTAGGTGTGTCTGTTGCTTGAGAAGTTAGGTTCTGCCTGAGTGGCCCAGTGAATGCTTTATTTTATGTTATTTAGTATGGGTCACCCTCTGGGAGGAAACAGATCTCAGCATAAATAAAACTAGACTCCTCTATTAAGATATGCAAGTTAGAACATTGGCAGTATTTTTGTGTATGATTGATTTTCTAAGTAGATTTGTTCCTAGAAAGTTAGAGATGCGTGAATTGTGTGCTTTGCATTTCCTTGGGGATACACTGTTCAGGCTAGTTTCCAAAGCCCCAAACCCCAGCTCCTTTATAGGACACTTGAGTTAGGGAGGTGTCAGGATGGAGGGTGGCCACAGCATTCCAGGGTCGGGTGGTGTTCCTGGGAAGCACCAGGGTGGTTCGGATCACAGTTAGGCACTGCCAGCTCTCTTCTGGGTCAACAAGAGACTGTACCTCTAGAAAAACAGGAATGGCCCCCATAGGACATTTTTTTAAACTTCCATTTAATTGAACATATATTTTCATTTTATAAACAGATGTCCCATTTTCTATGTTAAATATAATCTTACTGACTCCCCCCAACTCCCTACACCCTCACAGAAAAAAGTGAGGAACTTGATACAAGTTGAAAGATGGAATGGAGAGTAGAGAAGTTGCTATTGTACACAAGTAACAACACAGAGACCAAAAAGTAGACACGGCAGGAGTGCAGAGAAGACAGAACAGGGCTCACGGCAGGAAGGAACAAGAACTAAAAGGCTAAAGCTTTTCAATGCTATGGCTTGTGCCCCAAGATCATTGTGAAAAGGCAGGGACAGGTCAGAAAACAGAACCAAATAGGGAATTTTCCAAAGGCTGCTCTCTAACAGAGTTTAAAATATCCATGCACAGGTGAGCTTTCTCCTCCCCACCTTTTCTTCTGCTTCTGGTAAACCCTTTAGAAGCTTACATCACTGTTAGCATGTCAGAATATTGAGCAGATAGAGGTTCTACACTGACAAAGGATTGGCAGTTTGAGTAATTTAACAGGGCTAACCTGATAGTCAGCGAAGTGCTGTCCACCGAGAAGAGCCTTCATTCCTCAGATTCTTGAACTTCTGTCTGTACTAGGGCCTGGGGATGCACGGGCAGCGGGTGCAGTTCCAGCCCTCAGACAGCGAGCACGCTGGTACATTCATGCTGGGAGAAAAGAGAAACGGAGCTCCATTCCCAGCGGCAACATTGGAGTTACAATCCTAAACTCTTTGCCTCATGACCGTCATTTTCGTGAAGGCGTGTCACATCCTGTTCTCTGCCTTGAATTTATGCAGATGCTCTGTCTGGTTGAAAAATAACTAATTTTTCTGTATTATACAGACTGCCCCCCTCTCTTCTCCCAGAGTGAAAATGAACCTTCTTGAGAACTGTTTCTTCTTTGTTGTGTTCAAATAAAGGCAGATCTGATTGTTATTACTTTGGACAAATGCCATAGCATCAAATGAAGTGAAGTAGTGTCTCTTATCTCTCTCGGTGAGTAGATGCCACTCTTGCCCAACAGACTTTTTCTCTGAATATTTTCCAGTGTTCAGCACCATATCCTATTGTACCAGGTTTGAGGCAGTTTCACCTTTACACTCAGACCAATATCTCTACAGTCAACTAAAAAGGAAAGCTGAAATTAAGTTTCTGCCTTCATTTAGGTTTTTCTTACTTTGTACCTCCTTAGTATGAAACAATGGAGTTCAAAATTCATTACCCCTGGTTCTCCACCTGGCATACACATAACTGCTTGATTAAACATCAGCTTCTGCAACACCTATTTATCAAGTACATACTGTGTTCCACACACTTTGCTTGCATTACTACATCAGTGAACAAAACAAAGGTCTTTGCCACCCAAAGCCTCCACTCTGGCCAAGGTGAGGAGAGTCATTCCTCCCATAGGTTTAATATTTTAACATAAACCTAGTGTTAAAACTTTTTCCATTTTAAGCTGCTTTCACTGAAAGAGCAAGTTAACAGAGCTACTAGGAGCAGGATGAGGATTGGTAAATAATAAGCATATAAAAGGCTCCTCTCCTCTTTCTAGGCCATTCTTGATGGTTTCACCAAATGACCAGTCTATATTTAACATCTCCTCTGTCAAATCCCTCTCATGGCAGACTTTGAAGAAATATCTTCCACTTTGGAAACTACTGACATGGAAGAAAATTCAAATAAAAAATTAAGTGGAATAAGAAGGGCTTTATTAATTTCTAGTGTCAGAAATTATAAAGGAAGATAATGCATTTGACTATGTAAAACCTCAAGATTTCTTTCCGTCAAAGGACATTCTGAACTCTCCTAAAAGACAGAAGACAAACCAGGACAGTATTTACAATATATGTGAGAATGAGGTAACTTAGCTCATTTAGTAAGAGTTCTTGCAAATTAACAAGCATGGTTACTCTAGAAAATGGGCATGAAACAGAAACATAAAACCAACAAAGGAAGAAATATGACCAATAAATAACATAGAAGAAAATGTTCAACCCTTACAATTACCAACGAAATGCAAACTAAAATGATGAGATGTCATTTTCTCCCTAGCAACTTGTAAGGGTTTATAAAACTTACTCAGGGAAGGAGAGAATGAGGTGATCCAGCTCTCTCATACAGTAATGAAAGAACTTATTTCTCAGGGGGACTTAACGTGTCTCAAAGCCTCAAAAATGTACCTTTTGACTCAGAAATTACATTTCTAGAACACTTAATCAAAAGAAAATTGCCATGAATGTGTATAAAAATTTAAGATGTTCATCACATACTGTAACAAGAGTAATTTTTAAAAGGTAACAACCATGGTACAGCCATGTAATATAAATACCAAGGAGGAATATTTAATGACATAAAATGATGTTCTAAATAAAGTGGGAGGAAGGGAAGTTCCATGACAATATGTGCTGTTGAATCATCATATCATTTTTTTTAAAAGGAATGTGTCTGCCCAGAATACACATCAAAATAATGGAGCACATCATCTTGCTTGTATGTTCTAAATGTTTCTTTAGGAATGTGTTTTCTTTCATATTAAAAATAGTATCTTAAGATAAGACATAAATTATCTTTAAGATATGAACTTCACTATATTTTTTAAATATGCATGATAAA